TATTTTAAGAGTAGTTATTTGTACCATCACGTGTACTGTCTCTCTCCCGCTAACTCGTATGAATATAAATAAATGGTGAGAATGATATCTTTATTATTTTAACGTTTGGTATTTTGGGCCTAACCTGTTAGTACTGGAGTTTCATTTCCTTGCTTATTAGGTCAACGCATGTGAATACAAATAAATGGTAAGAATAATATTTTTGTTATTTTAATGTTGGGTATTTTGGGCCTAACTCGTTAGTATTAGGTTTTCGTTTTTTTTTTTTTTCTTCCTATTAAGGTTAGGTCAGTTTACTATATTTATATAGTACTTTGTAACTCTATAGAATAACAAGTTAGTCACAATACAGCCTCTTAAAGTTTTATAGTCATTTCGACAATTTTGTTTGTTTAATAATATTCTTATCATTTTGTAGTTGTTGTACACTCTTATTTCCAACTGGTCTTTGTAAAAACTCTATATATAACATGCGGAAAAGAACAAAACTGTCGCCTCTTCGGGACCGGCAGTCGCACGATGCTTATACACAGGCAAGCAACTAAAATATTAAGCCGTGGGACTCCCCAAACAATAGAAGAATATCCTTCAGTATGCAAATTCAATCTGAGACTCTGAAAGGCACAAACTCTTCGATAGAAAAGCTCTCAGCTGAGACTCCTTGCTGTACACTATCAAGTGAAAGGATAGAAGTTCGAAAAGAGCAAACTGCCTAGAAGAATGTACGCAGCAGAGTATGCCCAAACTATATATCCCCATCTGTTACCAGTACCACGAGATTTCATTATATACGACGCAAACCAATAGAGGGGAGGGCTGAAGGATAAGAAACGAGTAGCAACCTGTCAAACATGAAGCATTCAAAGTTATGATATCAATTTTCCAAATAAAAACCTTGCCAGAAAAATAACATAATAATACTAGTAAAGAGCACAAGCTAAAAACCAAGATGGTAATCACTAATCTATTATGCCATTCTGATTACCAGGCAGCATCATTACACCATCTTTGGAAGAGAACTTTACGCGTCATCTAAGTAAGTGAAAAATTTTAGTCTTGGTGCATACAAAATTAGAAATACATGCATAGTTCGGAGTTTTTGGTGAGTCAGTTCTATTCAAAATGTAAAACTTCAGCATTATTAATCTTTACATGATTGGTTAATCTTCATCTATCAAGCTTTTCGTCCCTGAAACAATTTGTCATTTACAAGGGGAAACAAGCAACTGATTCCCTCTAGCTTGCTTTTTCCATTGAAAGATAAAATAAATCATGATGCCAGTGATGATCGAATTTCTTTTGTTTTAACATCAGAATCCAAATTTTAAACCAAAAACTTGACAAAATTATATTGATCAAGTCGAAGAGAATTACTGAAAACAATAATTTCATGAAGCTGAAATTTAGTATTCTACATTTCTCAAATACTCCTAGCTTAAATAGTTTTGGCAAAATAAAGAACATTGAGAGGGAATAAAATCAAACCTGCACATGCATGACAAAAAATGCGGTGGCTGCCATAAATCCCAAATGTAGAATACATGGAAGCACAGCAACAGACAAGTATCCTTGCTTTGCTGTTACCTTATGTTCTCCTGGGAGTAAGGCAGGACCATCTTTGTTCACTTGCTTCCTTGTGCGATTTTCTGTTACATTTGCAAACGATTGATTACACGCTGTTGAAAGCCAGCATGAATGGAAGAGAAACAATATTCCAAAAATACTGATTAGGTCATGCATAATAAAACAATTGGATGCATGTGCACATATTGATTTATGATAAACGATTGATTTACTAGCTTCACATGTCTGTTAGGTTTTGAACTTACACATATCATGATAAGGATACCTAAACGTGGGTTCAAACCAATTAGGAGTCATGGCCATGTCAATAACTGATCTCCTAGAATTAAGGGATATGGGACGCGATAAGGATGCTTGCATTGCTCCACGTTAAAAGAAACTGATTGCTGCAGTTCATAGCAGTTGCTATCCAATCATCTTGATAGATGGAAGTTGGAGAAGTTCAGTTCGATATAATAAAGGATTCCCTACTCACAAAGAACACGTTCTGGAATCAGGGTTCTATCACCATTGGAACATAAGGTCTTGAGTGAGTAGAAGAATTCTTATGTGTTACCAGTAAACACAGCCTGCACCAGGTCTTTCAGTTGCTGTTGCTGCTGTCTTTGTTGCTGGGCAGATGGGTTCTCAGGTATGGTTGATCTCTTTTTAATGCCAACTCTTGTAATGTTATATGTAAGATATGTTGTTTGTGATCCTTGTTGAAGACTAACCATTTATAGTTCCTAAAATGTCAACAGAATAAGCCATAAAGCAATGACAGTAATAATATGTCAATCACAAGGCAATGGCTGTTTAAAAGTAATACCCTGACTTCTGGAGGAGTATTTTGCTAGAGAAAAGAGCACAGCAGCAGAATCTTTATCCTCAGGAGGAGCACGAAAACCCAAAGAGAAGAACTTTTCGGGCTTTGACTTCGCTAAGGACAATTGAGCAAAGTGCCAGAGACAATATTGGTGAAGCCAGCAGAAAGTTTGGCAACCGTTTAATTTGGAAGTATCTCAAGAAACCTACTCCCCTGGCATGAAGGTAAACCATCAACTATGAATATATCTCTATTTTATTCCAATTTTTTACATTTATCCTTTATTTGCAAGGTATAACTATAAGTATAACAAGATTAAACATTACAGATGTATATCGAGCTAGTCCAATTACCATTTCTTGCAAAATCAAATACTAATTTGTATCTTATACATAATAGACTATCCTTTATTACCATTTAGTGATGCTTTTCCAATAATCAGCAGAACAAGGACTTTTTTTGTAACATTGCTCTACAACAATTGACAGTAATGATTGTGAACGTTTAGCTGAACCCGAAAAAAAGGTATTAGTCTGATGAACAAGCATTGGTGGTTAAAGATCACATACCAATAGTGACTCTGAATATAATTGTACAACAAAGGTACCCTTCCATTGCACCAGGGCCTCATATCGGATGGAAGATGTCCAAGACAGAGATTGTTGTATCCATATGCTTGAAATGCAATAAAAGGAACAACTATACACATACAGCGCAGAGCTCCACCAACAACAGCCTGCAATGCCAACTGCCACAGAAATGAAAATTATTAAGCGATCATCTTTTTGATATGTATAAACACAAATTTCTTTGTGCTACATAATTGACATGTTCTGTTTTCCTTTGATGCTGTACAAGAATATTCTAACCGTGTCTACATGGTATGGAGTGGTATGGTTTGCTGAATGAAAGTCTACTTTTGTGGAACCAAGTAGGCAAAATAAATTATTGATAATCAGGATACTGAAGCTTAATCTTTCATACGTATCAACTTAAAATCATATGTAAAAGAAAAAATTGAAACCTACAAAAGGACGCTTTCTCAAGAAAACAGAATCATAGGCCTGATGCATAGTCTGAAAACAGAAATAACCAGCATTAAGCACTCCATTGGACCTTGAAAATCCCGAGAGAGCAAACCAAAGAACATGACATCTTTTCCAGATATTAGATGGTACAATCCTCCAACTGAAAAAAGGGCGAACAATGTCTCTGAATATCTGCAGTATAAAGCAGATGAAAACATCAGCCTGATGCAATATCATAGGTACCAACTAGAAAGAAACAAAGGAAAGGGAAAATTACAATGATGAATAGAATATGGAAGAATATGGAAGCTGGATTGAAGCAAAACAGAATCGAAGCCCTCACTGCTGCTTCTTGGTCCTTCAAAATGACAACTGAAAGCCTGTTAAAGTGACAAGGGAAAGACAAGTAATCAAAAGTTTTAAACCAATCGAAAAGTCAATGTAAAATAATCAAGGGCAGCCAATCGGATCCAGGTTGATATTTATAGCTCCCCATTCTCGAAACTTCATTCTGATATATATATCTATATTCTTTCCTTTTAATTATTGACAAAATCCAATTTCAGAGAATAAGGGCCTCATTAAGGTGGCAGACAAGCTCTAATTATTGCAGGAAAGAAACACACTTGAAGATGCCAAATAGTTATAGTCCGGATAAACCTTTTCCGAATCAAATTGAAATTATGAAAATCCTAACTAGCTCACCTGTATGAAGAGAGATGTCCACCAGGAAAAGGACACTACTGGCTCAGAATATCCCACATCCCTTACATAGATATAGATTGGAAGATGATTTGAAGCTGATAGTCGATTCGATCCCATTCTCCATGTCCAGGTATGATCTTCTCAAGGAACGTTTTTATTATTATTATTATTGTTATATTGTTAATCATCTTTATTCTTGCTGCATTGGGAAGGTTTTGGCGGGAGAAGGATTGTGCTGAAATGACTGCTTGTCTGGGGAACTGTTTGGAAGGATGGATTCTGTGGTCGGTGAGGCTGAAAAGTGAAATCGCAATGGCTTGGAACCGTCATCATTTTTAGGGGAGCGAAATTTGGAACACTTCAAGAAATGTTGCTTGCAGAGATGATGATAGAGATGTTGAAGGAAGTCCCGCTTGAGGCCATGGAATAGAAGTAAAACTTGGTGGTGCAATAGGATGGTTTAGAGAAAATACCATATTCACCGTTGATATATTTGAAGGTGGTGGCAACTGGCATGGATGAAACATCTGGTTGTGGAGCTGGTGGACCGCTTGACCATCTGGTAGAGCTCCCAGCAGGCAGTGATCCAGGAGAATTATTAGACACATGTTGCGGAAGTGTAGGCGCAAACGGGCCAGTTGGTGGTGGTCGATTTCCCATGAATGTGAGTGGAACCTGAAACATTAGTTTGAACTGATGCAGGCTTGGGAGCTATATATGCATGCGGCAAAAATTGTGTTGTCGGTGGGTTTTGTCGGGGAAATTCTCAAATTTGATTTCTCGGTACTGCTTACTTATGTTTACAAAAACATTATCTTCAATTTTCTTGAGAAAGCACATTTATCGGAAGTGGCTGAAGGCACGACTTGCTCATTAAATTACAGTTAAGCTAACTCGATCATTAGATTCTTTGCTAGATGATTACATTTACAACACATTACTCCAAATTAGAGCCTATATGCTACCTAATATAACTTCATTTGTACTAGCTTTTGACTGTAATGCGGTTGCACCATGTCGATGTTTGTTCATGCTGTGCCTTTGCAACTTGTACTACTGCATTTGCAACTACATTCTCGTTCTGGAACCAACACCATGTAGCTGCAGTCTTTCAACACAACAAATTAAACCAATTTATATTCAAATTTCAACAAACAAACCCACTCAACCCCGGATTCACTAGACATCAACATGATCCTTCTATTTTCTCAGCTCCCAAACAGTCACCACTCAAGCATGACAATGATCAATTTTTTTTCAGCATTTTCTACCTTAACAAGAAATTTACAGGCTAATCTGAAAAGTACAAGAACCAAGTTTGTTGGGTCTTTAATTTCACGCCATAAACGGTGAAAGGTGTAGACTTTTAGTGTAATCTATTAACTTAGCTCCAGAAAAGTGTTTCGCTTTTCAGAATTTTATCAGGAACCAAACAAAAATCAAAATTAAAAGATAACCACCAAAGTTTGGAGACAAAAATTGAGCTGTGAAACGGAAATTACAAAGTCTGTGGATAGGAAAATTACCTCGGAGGCAATCCAGGGTGAAGATCTCAAACTCTTTGAGACGAACTTCAAGGGCGGAAGCAGAGCGGTAGAGAGAGAGGGTCGGGACGACGTCCTTGACGAAAGATTTCGTCTAAGATCGAACGGGTTGCATTTTGCTCCTCTCTCTCGGGCCGGGGGAAGTGGAAGGATGAGAGTATCAGCACATGCACATGCACATGCACGTCCTAATCGCAAGAGTTAGGCATGATAGTCATAAGCATTAACACAAAATTCTTACCTACAGCGGCACCGTTTCCCCATCTCTGCCTAATACCAATTGGTTTTCTCCAAAAAATATATTATAAATTCGTTTTAAAAAGGAGAAAAATAATTTTGTAAATCTTTTTTGTTTATAATTTTTGAAGGCCAAAATTTATTAGGGATCCTGTGGTAATATGGCATTTTCTAATTAACCCTCGTAATAAAAAAAATTATTAATCATATATATATATATATGTGTGTGTGTGTGTGTGTGTGGTGAAGTCCGTTAGTAATCTTGGTCCAAATCAAAGTTTTCATCCAAATTTCGTTGAGAAGTTACATGTGCTGCTCACATGTAAGGGTATAAATGTCTGAACAGCTTGTTAACTATGGATTTTCTACTGTCATTTTCAGATTTATTTTTCAGTTTTTTTCTTTCTATCTTTTATCTTTTTCGGGTTTAAAACATTAATTTCATGACCATGTGCTGATCTGTTATTAACTGTGGCGGTCAATAATATAAAATGAACTTTTGTTCATTTCATGTGATCGGCACATACAATTTTTTTACGGGAACTTGTTTGAAAGTTTTGATTTGGACTAAGATTGCTAATGGACTCCACCTCAGGTGTACGATTGATAAATTTTTTTTTATCACGGGGGTCATTTCGAAAGTAACCTATCACCACAGGGACAATAAAAAAAATTTGGTCTTTTTTTAAGGGAGATTATATTCACACACTAAATTACTTCCCCCGCACCCTTTTAATTTTTTAATATTTTTCCTTCAAGCCTTAGTGGTGTGTAGAAAATATTAAAAAAATTAAAAAGATGTGAGAGAAGTAATTTGTGATGTGTTGACACACCTCGACCTGAATCGAGGTGTGCTGGCCGTCACGTGAGGATGACGTAACCATGTGTGCAGCGCAAAAGTGATAGTGATATGAAAATGTGGGTAAATAAAAACCAAACTAGCTAGTTTACACTAGATACATACACAAGTACGAGTAAAGGTGTTTAAGTATAGATACACATAGTCAGAGTATAGGTAACCTAGATGCAGTCCAGCCAACTAAATATTAATTATACAAGACGTGAAAGAATTTCCTACATTATTTGAAGTCTGTCAGAACCGCCGCAAGCCCTCGTAAGCCACCAACACGAATGTCTAACTAGAACCTGGAGGAACGCAAAACAGAAAACCTAAGTGGACAAAAACAAAGCTTTTTGAAACCATTTCTCTTTCCAAAAATAATAATCCCTCACCGTAAAACCCGTATAATTTCCCAAAAAATAATAATACATACGTATGTAGAAATCATGCTCGAGAGCAATGAAACCAAGTATATGCCATGTTAAGTATCTCAGTAAGAAATATGTAAGCCAGGTGATGTGAATCAATATAAAATGATATGTCAGTCGGAGTCACCTAACGTGACCTATACGGCTAAACCCATAGCTCATAAACCAATTCATGTACACGAGTCGGAACCACCTAATATGGTCTGTACGACAGGCTGGGTGTAAATAAGTACGCTCAAGTGCTACGATCACGTGAAGGCTGTGCGATGAATTGGGGTCACCTACGAGTCGGAATCACCCAATGTGGTCTATACGACAGGCTGGCACCAAACTTGGATCCAAGGTGAACGTACGGTGCGGGAAGTGAACGATCACGTGAAAGATATGCCCTGGCCTTGGGCAGAAATACTAACACCAGGGTGCAGGATAATGAGCTCTAAATGCATCTACGTATAACCATACACAATGCAACCACTACCATCATACAGTACTCACCTAAAGTTTACCTGGGCCTCCGCAGCGTCATTCAATATTATGCATACCCATACTAATGCATATACTAAAATGAAATGCAAGTATGACATGGCACTTAAAAACATAATTCCATTTAGATCAGTTTCTGGGCAATGTAAAACATATATACGTATATATAGAAAACCAAAAGCCCACTCACTAGTATGTAGCAGGGTCGTAACCCCCGAGTCTCGCCTGGCTACGCTCGTCCTCCAAAAACGTCTCACCTATATGTGAAACAACTAATTTAACATTAATTCGAAAGTACATAACCAAAACCATGAAATAACTTCTCATATGATGCTCAATTGAGGTGTTTTAAGATGTCATCGTGGCTTACTCAACACCACGAGCATCCCCATATTTTTAGAAAAAATTTATGATGTCAACCTCACGGCCCAGCCAAGGCACAACCACGAGTGCCCGGCCATGCATAGGCACGTGCCTGGCAAGTTAGACGGAAACCCTAATGACGTTAGGGAATATTTCGTTAAATAAAAGCATATTCCATTAGATTTACCTGACGCCGTTAATATATTACGTCAAAGTTGACGAAATATTCTCTGTCTTCTCCGGTGTCTTCGTCGGAGCAGCCGCCTACCGCCATCTGCAACGCTGGATTCTAGAAAATCTTAAAACCTTAATATCTCCCTCAATTCTCAACCAAAATTCACGAAATTTATATAGATTTGAAGCCCTTGAAGTCTATAACATAACCATACCTATTTGAAGTCCTAAAACCGATGAAAAACGATCGAAAAATTTCTTGGAAAAATCGGCTAACTCTGCAATTTGATGATCGTGCTTATTTCGACGTCCAAACTTCTCCAAAACTAGTCTAAAATGTTAGGGAAGTTGAGTGAGTACCTTACAAAGCCTCAAGACCACGTGAATCACCCATGATCACGTCGAAGCTATTTTAGCTCTTCGCCGGAGTTTCTGAATTCCGGGGTTTTTGAGATCAACTCACTTAACAAATGTTATAGAAACCTCAAGTTCGATCTGTAAAGTCTGATGGTGTCTGAAGGTTGGAGGGCTCAGGTTGTACGGAAGAGAGAGAGAGTTCGAGAAGAAAGGAGAGGGTGAAAGTGGCATGTGTGTGTGTGGTCACGGGTTGGCCAATTTAAAATGGTCTCAAGCCCTAATTGGGCTATAGAATTTAGGGCTTACACAAAAGAGTCCAAATAGGAATAAAACCAACCCAATCTCACTTATTCATCCGTAACATTTTTGTTACGAACCTGATTCGGCCCTAACTCGCGTCAACACGCTCGTGACAACGCGTACAATTTAATTACGTCAGCGAAAAAAATAATTTAAAACTATATGTATACATCCACGTCACTAAGCCTCGAGGGCATTATCGTCACTTTACACAGCAAGGAGGAAATATATACAATAATTTGGGACGGGTCATCACATGTGTGAATATAATTTCTCTTTTTTAATTGTTCTATGTGCATATGTTGTATTTTACTTGATAGCTTTAGCTGACATATTGAAGTATTAACAGCAACATAATTTTAATACGTTTAATCCTTAATTTACTAAAAAACTGGTTCATAGAGTCCAACGATGGTTTGCCAATATTCATAATATCACAAAATGCTCCTCCCTACCAATTTAATTAGAAAGGGTCAAAACTAAAATTAGTTAGTGGGGTTTTTGAATTATTTTAAACTAAAAATTGTGATTTAAGTTTTTAATAAATAAAGAATAAAATGTAAAAAATATAGAATAACTAATAAAATAAAAAATGGCAGATAAGAGCGTTGGGCACTCCATGAATAACTCTTATATTTGGGATAAGTCTTTACCTTATTTTGCTAGAAATGTTTTTTCCTTTAACTGTATGAGGTTCAACTCTGAATAAATTTAATATTCCATGAAAAAAAGGAACTAATATTTCTACTAAATTATTAATTAAAAAAAAAAAAGAGAACCAATGTTTCGACTAAATTATTCTTTCCTTCTTCTCTTTTCCCTCTCTCTACCTCTTCTTTCATTCTTCTCTTTTCCATCTCTAGTCGACTTTCTCCAAGTCTTTTCTAAGTCTTCTTTCATTCTTCTCTTCCATCTCTCTCTTGTCTACTTTCTCTCTCCTCTTTCATTCTTGTATTATCCATCTCTCTCTACATCGACGATCAGGATTGAACAAGTATGTGATGTACGAATGGGGGGCTTATAAATATCATGCGATATTTGGAAATTAACAAACCCATCCCCCACTCTCTTCTTTCCAGAAAAAAAAAATGAGGGCATTTCTGCAGCAACTACTCAACAAGATATTCACTAGCATGTTGGATAATGACCTTGACCCGCCGAACGACCACCACCAGCAGCTGCCACCAGATGCCGCCAGCTTTCTAGGCCGCCTAGGAAGCACAACTTAGATTGGGCAACAATTATTCTGGCGTATTGCTTGTCAACGGCATTTGGAATGGCTCTCGTACCCATCCAACTTCACTCCAAGCAGCTCCCTCTAACCTTTTGCTTTCTCGGTCTCGCAATCACACTCTCCTTCTCGAGCATCTTGGTTAGCAAGTTCATTCAGAACTCCAAATGCCCACGAATCATAGTTCATCTCTTCCATTATTTCGGTGTCTTCTTTGGGGTGATCGCCTTCTTCACTTCCATCACAATCCCATTTCCCCTCTGGTTCAAGTGTACTGCCTCTGTCATCTAACGCGGCCTCAGGCCTTGTAATACTATTTTGTCACCACTACTATAACTGATCAGATGTATCCAGCAAGAATTAAAATAAATATTCCAGAAAAGAAATAAGCATTCGAGAGGAGAGAATTGAATTGCAATGTTTGAATATTACTCATATGTATGTGTGTTCTAGAATTAAGACAGTTTGTAAACTGCATGGACTAAATCCGATGAAATTGATATGATATGGGTGAATCTTGTTGGAAAATATTAGTATCTAGATTTATTTTAAGAGTAGCTATTTATACCATCACGAATAGCATCTCTCTAATATATGTAGGGTCTGTCAACTCATATGAATACAAATAAATTATAAGAATAATATTTTTGTTATTTTAATGTTTGGTATTTTGGACCTAACCCGTTAGTACTAGGGTTTAATTTCATTGCTTATTAGGCCAACGCATATGAATACAAA